GACAGCTTTGCCATACTTTTTAAATATTCAGAATTGTGTTTCATTTTTACTACTCGCTGGTTGGGAATGGGTCACCACAGCCAGCATAGTTGTAGGAAGAAAATGTACGTGGTTACTCTACTTCTGTTATTCCCTTCTTTGGGCCATTGAGGATTCCACTATGTCTGTTAATTGTATTTTATAAATGACATAAATGTACATGGAACATTACAACAGGGAAAATATGACAAAAGTAATACTACAGAGCATAATCCTTGCCTCAGGAGGTTCTGTCCGAAGGCCTGAATATATTCATTGTACTTAGGGAGGGAGTAGTATGGAGATGTTATCTGCGCTTGGCTTAACATGAGATTTGGGGTTCTTACAAATGGGAAAGAAGCTGAGAAAAGAACTGAGCCTCTCCAGGGACAAGACATCTGGGGCTGAGCATCACCCATGAGATTCTGGTGCTCTGAAAAACCCTTCTGCAAGGTGGATAGGAGGGATTTAAGCTCCTCATTCTAGCTAATGGAAAATGTTCGAGGGGTTGTTTTGGGTAAACAAAACAAAGATCTGAAAGTATTTACATTTAATTTCATTCAAAATGATAATTTAAAAAGCAAAACCCAAAGCATACTCGGCAATTCGCACAGCCTTGTTTAACACTTCTCAGGTGCGGCACAGTTACTCTCACAGGATCAGGCCCTGAGGGGATGCCAAGAAGAGAAATGCTTGAAAGCAACATATGGAAATTGAACACGAAGTTAAAGCTTGAGTGGAGATAGGTGGGTTCAGGAGCTGTCTTCAGGAGAGGCAGCCAAGGCTATGCAGTGGGAAGTGTGTAGAAACTGAAAGGTACTCAGCGGCAGTCATGTTATCGTAATCCGTGCAGTCATTTCCTCTTGACGAGTGTATGTAGCACATCACAGAGCTGGGCCTGTTGTCAGAGGAATGCTAAGGCAATGCACACATGTGCGTGTCATGAACAGCAGTGATGCAAGGGGCATGGGGCACTTATGGGGAGAAGCCACTGAGCAGAAGGCTACAAAAGATGGAAATGCATTCAAGAAGGGCTGTTATTTTTGTAATAAAACTTACCAGTTGTTCATAATTAAAAATATGTCTCCCCAAGGTCACTTGTATTTTTTTGCCAGGATCACAAAGCTGTTCTAATCAACACTGGTGTTAGAGCCTGAATTAAATGTGTGCTGGCATCTGCCAGAGTAAGTATCTTTGTTTCTTCCTCCCACGCCTTATATAAAACTTGGTTCATCTGGAAGGAGTTAAGTTCCAGAAGGCTCCAAGCCCTACAGAAGAGATTTGGGGCACAGTGAAACTTCTCCAGCAAGCTCTTGGTATCCCACAGAAAGCCAGTATCTGTCTGATCCCCATTTCCACAGACCTTGTGTTGGTAAACAACCCCCTGACTTCCTGATGTCCCTGTGTGTCAATGAGGTTTGAGCTCTGTCAGTCAGCCACAGGGACATGGAAGTGACAGGAGCTTTATCTGTGTGGAAATGGTCTACTAAGGAAGGACAGACCACACTTTGGCTCCCTAAGACCGAAAAGTGCTTTGAGTTTTGAATCTTTGAGTTCTTGCTTTTCCCCCCAAATTTAAACATTTTCCAAGAAGGCCGCCATACTCATGTCTCTTCCCATTTAAATTTATATATGGTATTGCTTATGGCAAACAGTCCATACAATTCTGCAAATCTTTAAACATTGATCTCCCCTCCCCCAAAATTTCAACTGTACTTGCAGTACTTTTTTATCCAAAAACGTCTCAACTGTATGAGGACTGCTGTACGAATTTAAAATTTCACCTTGCATTATTTAATTTTTCTTAACCAGAATTTATCACTGTTATCTGACATCCTCCTCAGCCCCAAGCATTTGTTGTGACACAGGAGGAGGTATGATTAACTCAAGCATCATAGGCTTGTTCAAAGCTTTTTGCTTTCCTGCAGGTAGAGTTAATTATGGTCCCTATTGGGTTACATCTCCTGGCAGCCTTTCTGCCTGTTGCCTTACTCACTCTCTGGGGGCTGGTGGATGGCTGTGGAGTGTAGTGTCACTCACCTACGTGCTTATTCTTCAGTGGCAAGCGTTTAAAACCTGGAGAGGCTCTCATGGGCCTCCTTGGTTAAAGGGACAGTTGGAGTCACCACTACATCTGGGCTGCAGTTTCTTGACATTTTCCTGGGCACTGATTGCTTGTTGCTTATTGGAAGAAACTGAGAGAGGCCACTTCATTGTTTGTATCCAGGATGTTTTTTGCAAGTAAATTGCCAGGATAGGCAATTGTCTCTTTATCCAAGTCCAAGGGATATCTGAATCCAAGACAGCTGATGACATTATATTGGGCATTCATTTTAGAACTGCTGAGCCCACAGAAATCAATAGTTTTCCATTATCAGGTCCGGCTGGGTCACTAGTCTGTCAATGAGCTGTTACAATCACTGTACAAGGGTGAACCTGACCAGTCAATTGCTGCTGACAAGAGGAAAACATGCTGACAGCCACTGGAACAAGCCAGAACACAGATTTGCACTTCAGTTTACCATCTGAGGAGACTGGGAGCAAGGCCTTTTCCAAGATGTAGGGCATCCACTGTGGGAGATAAAGCCCCCTCTCTCCCTCCCTCCCATACATCAGACAAGCCTTCCCTGTCCAGGGAATTAAGGTTTGTTTCTGTATTCCCAAACACCAGAGAACTCACTAACTGGAGATGAAGGAACCACCTTCTTTGGCAGTCAAAAAGAAATGTGCTAAAAGGGAAGGCTCCTGCTGGCAAGGCCAGAGGACCAGGCTTGTGTCTGCGGTGGCCATCACTGAGGAATGTGGGCTCAGGGACTTCTTGTCCGTGGTAGGTACCTGTGCTAGATTAGGCAGGAATGCAGATTATAGAGTTAACTCCAATTCTTGTCTGTGTTTTAGCACTGACTTCCTATCAAATTTGAGAGCAGAGAAAAAATAAATATTTAGAAATTATCCCAATATTATGATTTTTAATTTTCAACTTTATTAACTTCTTTCAAGTGTTAAATCCTGACCGTTTTATTTATGCCTCCGGTCGTCTGTTTGATTCTTGCAGAAGTCAATATTCACTTGTGCTCCATCATCAAACAAAAAACTGGTAATCAACTTTATCACTGGAAGCCAACTAGCTGGGTTTTAAAAAATACACTACCCAAAAGAAAGATCATTTTCTTTAAATGAGAGGAGAGGGAAGTCTTTTTAACAGAGAAGAGCAAACCTTCCTTTACTGGTAATTAGAAGCACCAGTCTTATATGACTTGCAGCATTTGGTAGCTCAAGCCGCGTCAGATCTCTTATAGCATTAATTAAAAAGAATTTATGTTTTTTTAATAAAATGCTTCATGTTTTAGCCCTTTTCTTCCTCCTTCCAAATGTGATTACGGGGGCTGAAGGGAATTCAGGTTAATATGTTGACACACTTAACAATGCGGGGTCATGTAGCACAATCCGCTCGGCTGGTTCGGCGCGGCGCGGCCCCTGACAGGTCCCATCAGCCGCTGCCCTAAAGGCAGAGGCGAGGGGAGGATTTTAATTACTGCGCTGTGCGCGAGTTTGCCAGCATTAAATTGAGACATAATTAGGCCCCCGAATTTTAATAATTGTCCTAGCTAATTGGGCAGACAAGTACGCTCTGCAGCGTGGCGTGATTAGATAATTAGTGTTTCCAAATGACAAAATTGGGCTCTTGATTGAGGATTCCAGATGCGGGGGCGGGGGGGGAAAAGCGGGCGGCTCCTTGCTCGGGCAGAGCCGAGCCGAGCCGAGCCGAGCCGAGCCAGGGGAGGCGACCGGGCCAGGTGAGTTGGGCTGTGCCTGGGCGGGGATCCCGGCGGGGAGCTGTGAGCGGGGACAGGAGCGGCCCCGCGGGCGCGGCGCGGAACCGCGGTGTCTGCGGGCCGGGGGGCGCACCTCCCGGGCGGGCGCCTGATGCGCGTGTCCCCCGTGACGCGGCGTGAAGCGATTGACCTGGCGGCGCTAATTGATCGCCTCCGCCCGAAGGCGCGGCACGAGCGGCCACGGGAAGGACAAGCAGGGCCCGCGGGACGGACCCGCCTCGGCGGCGGCGGCACCGACACGGCGGGACTGCGGCGCCTCCGCCCGCGGCCGCCAGGGGGCGCCGCTCCCGCGCGGCGGCGACGGCGACGGCTCCGCGCCCGCTCCGCGTCCCGGCAGGGCCGCGGCTCCGTGAGTACCGCTCCCCC